CAGCCACAACATCATATGTTACAAAGCCAGATGACATTCTGACATTGCAGTACCATGAAGTGATAGGCTAATTTTGTTTTGTGATAAATCAACTATAAGTTGACATATTCAAAATCCAGAAGCCCACAGTATGGCAAATATTCCCACTCCACCCTCCCATCTTTTTTTTCCTTTGGATTCAAGAAGTTGGCCCCCCTTTTAATAATTAGCAGCAACTAGTTTTCTGTGTTCCATCTCCCTTCAATCAAACTGAAAGGAAGAATTTGATATCTGAAAAACATCCTTGACACCTCATCCATTTTATTCTTTCAATAAAGTTACTGAGCACCTACTATGTGCCAGGCACTGTATGAGGCATAAAGAATACAAAATTGAACAATGACAATGACAGAAACAAAATTCCTGTCCTCATGGAGTTTACAATCTAGTGGTTCTGACATTAAACCAATACATACAAAATTACACGTGTTAAATGCTAAGTAGAGGTATGTGGTCAGGTGAGATGTATGACAGCGGGTCTTACTCTGTGACAGAAATTAGGGAATGTTTCCCTCAGGAAGTGATGAACTAAGATCTGAAAGACAAATAGGAATTAATTAGGCAATGGGAAGGGATAGATACTTCAGGCCAAAGAAACAGCATGAACAAAAGTCTTATGCTGGATGAAGCACTGTAATTCTCATTCCAAATACTTAAAGGACAATGAAGGTATTGAGTAAAACATGGTACATATGAGGCTAAGTGGCAACAAGAATAGGTAACCTCTATTGAGTGTTTTTTAGGTGATGCGCCAGCCACTGTTTTATTCTGAGACAGTAACTATTTTAATGCTTGGAACTATGCTTTAGATAGTGGCCCTAATATATCTGACCTCATATGTCAAATATATTTGGTCACATAAAATATTTCCATCATTAAGGACAATAAAAAGCCACTCAAGTGTTTTAAGCTAGGGGTGCAAGTGGGGGTAGGTAGGTGGGTTGTCTGGATTAAAATTCAACTTTGAATAAAAAGAAGAATTCTGCCTGCAGTAGAGTAAATACAAGGAGGGCCAGAGTCGCTGCAGGAAGAAGAGTTAGGAGACAACAGCAGTTATGCATACAAAAGGTGCTGATGGTAGCTTAGATTAGGGAGTGGTGAGAAGTGAAGTAGACACATTTGAGAGATGTTTACAAGGTAAAAATGACAGGACTTGATGAAGAAGTGATAGGGAGAGGAAGATGTCTTAAGATGATTTCCATGTTACCAGTTTGGGAACAGGGGGAATGGTGGTGGCATTCACTGGGATAAGATGCCTCGATTAGACTGTAGGTTAACACAAACTTGTTAAAAAGGGGGTATAACTCCTCTACTGACATGTATTGAATAAAAACCCACAGAAGAATTCCTGGTGAGTTTCTTCCACATATATTTGCCTTTGGTCATACAGTCATTCTTACACGACTTAACTCGAAATAATGCTTCACCACAACTAGTATATATGGGGGCATTTCCAAGTTCTTTTTTTTGTGTTGCCCAGGTTAGAGGGCAGTGGCACGATCTTGGCTCACGGCAGCCTCGGCCTCCTGGGTTCAAGCAATTCTCGTGCCTCAGCCTACTGATTGGCTGGGACTACAGGCGTGCGCTACGGCATCTGGCTAATTTTTGTATTTTTAGTAAAAACGGGGTTTCACCATGTTGGCCAGGCTGGTCTCGAACTCCTGACCTCAAGTGATCTGCCCAACTTGGCCTCCCAAAGTGCTGAAATTACAGGGATGAGCCACCGTGCCCAGCCTCAAGTTCTAGGATAAGGTAAGAAAAGAAAAACATTCAAAATACTCAATTTTTTTTTTTACATACATGAAATTTAAAAGCACAGCACAGAAAACCTACTACAAAGCTACTGTAATCATACTTGTTAGAATGACTATTATCAAAAAGACAAAAGAGAAGTGTTGGAGAGGATGCAGAGAAAAGGAAAGAAAAGCTCTGTACACTGCTGGTGGCAATGTAATTATAGCCATTATGGAAAACAGTGTGGAGGGTCCTCAAAACATTTAAAAAATGTAACTACCATATGAGCCACCAATCCCACTATTTCATATATGTTCAAAGGAAATGAAATCAGTATGTGGAAGAGACATCTGCAATCCCACGTTCACTGCAGCGTTACTCAATAGCCAAGATACAGAATCAATTTAATTGTCCATCAATGGATGAATGGATAAAGCAAATGTGGAAAATATACACAAGAGAATACCATTCAACTTAAAAAAAATAAAAAAGGAAATCCTGTCATTTCTCACAACATGGATAAACCTGGGTGTAGTGGCACACACCTGTGGTCCCAGCTACATGGGGGACCACTGTGTTAAGTGAAACAAGCCAGGCACAGAAAGACATGCCAAATGCTACCTGATCTCACTTATGGAGTGCAAGAAGTCAACTGCGTGGGGTGGAGAGTAAAATTCTGGTTATCAGAGGCTGTGGGATGTGGAAATGGGGATATGTTTGTAAAAGAACACGAAATTGCATTTAGTGAATATAAGTTCAGGAGATCTACTGTACATCACTTGATTATAGTTAATAACAATATGTTGTATACTTGAAAATTGTTACAAAATTTTAAGTGTTCTCGCTTCAAAAAAAGTTTGAGGTAACATGTTACACAGCTTGATTTAGCCATTCCATAATGTATACATGTATCGCGACATCATGTTGTACACCATAAATATATACGTTTTACTTCTCAATTAAAAATATAGGAAAAAACTCCAAAAAACTCAAAAGTAAACAAAAAATAAAAATAAAAAGCAAAGCACAATTACCATTTTCATCTCATGACTACTAACATCTCTCAGCTAGAGATTTCTTTTTTAAATTTCAGGACATGATAACTTTGTATCTAAATTATGGTAACTTAAAAAAAGGGCAACCCTGGTAAGTCAATTGTCAGGTTTTCCTGTATTTCTCACACTGCTAAATAGTTTGGGGTTCACTTAAACAAAAATCATCTTATCTTTTAGGTAGTTTTAATGACACAAACACGGTAACATATACCTCATACATAGACGTACACATACAATTTAAAGTTTTATGGTCATCTTTAAAAGATAAAAAAGATAAGGGAAAATGTGTGAATTAATGACTACGCCATAATAAAAGCATATAACTAGGCTTTAAGTCCAAAGACCAGATTACTAATTGTGATTTCAGTCATTTGTACTTTCTAAGCCTTAGGGTATTTTTTTAAAAAAACTTCTAACATTTGAATAATACCTACCTCTCAGAATACAGTGTTTTATGAATTTTAAACATCTATAAAAATAGTATTCTTTATAAGTAAAAAAATCAAACTAAGCACATAGAATGCTCAGATTATCATAATATCTACTGTTTGTATGATTTCCTTGGGAAGATCAAATAAATTTAAAAGTAGTAAGTAAAACATTCAGCTTCAATAACAATAAGCAATTATAATATACGATAGAGGCCAGGTACAGTGGCTCACACCTGTAATCCCAGCACTTTGGGAGGCCGAGGTGGGCGGATCACCGGGGATTAGGAGTTCAAGACCAGTCTGGCCAATGTGGTGAAATCCCGTCTCTACTAAAAATACCAAAAATTAGCTGGGTGTAGTGGCAGGCGCCTGTAATCCCAGTTACTCAGGAGGTTGAGACAGGAGAATCATTTGAACCCACAAGGCGGAGGCTGCGGTGAGCTGAGATCGTGCCATTATACTCCAGCCTGGGCAACGAGAGCGAAATTTCATCACACACAAAAAAAGAAAAACATAGAAAAATTTAAATTTATATAGATGAATCTAGAGAAACAATGTTAGCTCTGAAGAAGTTTATGTCCCATCAATCCTTCTTTTCCATAACAGACTGTTTTTGCCAAATGTATACTTAAAAATCAAATGTTTTCTTCTAAGGACATAACGCTATACATTTTAAATCTTCAATTAGACCTCTGCACATTTAATCTAAGGCTATCAGTTTTAGATTAACATGACTTATTATGATTTTTTTAATACTCTGAGGTAAACTATTATCAATTTGTTCTTGGCTGTATCCTTAGTACCCAAAACAGTGCCTGTATATTTTAAATAATGTAAATGAAAATGGATGTTTGGGGTGGGGGGAGGAAAGGCCGGTATTGTTTTCAATAAAGCCCTAAATCACTCCAAAATTTAATGTAAATGAAATATGTATTTTCCCCCAAGCACTTACATACACGGACCACTATGTATGTCATGCCAAATACGCAAAGCACCATAAAGTGTTGCAACGTGGTTTAAAATTTTCAAGTATCTTAAAGAAAGAGTAGTCCAGCTATTTCATTTTTTATCTTGGAGAGATTTATGTTTAAGAATGTGAATTTTAAAATAGACACCACTTAGCTTAATTCTATCAGAAATATATTTTAAATCTTTAAAAGTCTGTTTCTTAACACTCATGTACTTTTATTTTATAATGCATGATTTTCTTTCATGTTGATTTCAACCTTAATTCCTAACAAAATAGAATTCAAAATTCACCAATGACTCTTATTATAGAAGATTGTGTATGTATATATATATATCTCACATAGAGCTTTAATCAAAACTAGCTTTATAAATTCAGTATGTGCAAACACCCACCTAATATGATACTGTAAGAATGGTATGAAATTGTCTTATGTGCAAGGAAAAAAAATTTTCCAAAAACAATCAACTTCTTAAAGAGAAAAATGAAGGTAAAGAAATTAATATAAATAGTATTAATCAAAAATTTTTATAGTTACAAATGGTGCCAAATTTAGCAGGATAAATTACTATTTTACTTCTAACAACAAATGTTTAAAGGAATGTACAAGTAATGCTTTTTAAATCACTTGGTCATATACTCTAACATTTTGCTTTTGTACAGTTTGTGCTTTTTACTTTTACATTTGTACCATCTTTTTGTTGAAAATTATTCCACTTATACAATGTACCCATTATTTAAAATGATTTTTTTTCACATTTTCAAGATATTTTATAAGTTCAGTAGGCTGATGATTTTCCAAACCTATTGATTATATAATTTATTAATCTGATTGGACTTTTTACAGTAATTAAATTATAGATATAAGTACATAATTTTAATAACATTTAAAATGTAAGCCTCTTTTCATTTTACATTAGTCATAAAAGCATTTGAATCTTTGTAAATAATAGTAAATTATTAACAAATATTGAGAAACCAATTCAGCAATCTGTGTGAACACAAGAGGTTTTCCTTTTTCATTTAAAAAAAATGCCTACAATGAGATATCAAAATTAGGAAATGACATCTTCTTTTCAATAGACATGTAATTATTTTACACTATGTGTTGACTTCCCTAGATCACAACAGTTTAAAAGAGGGCTAAGCCCCAAAACACAAAACAACCAAAAGATTGTAATGCCCGTACCTAATACTTTCTAAACTGGCTTTGAAATAGTCATCACTTCATCACATTCCATTTTGCTTTATTGTCTTTTCATGAAAATAAAACTCTTCCCCTAACTGGTAACATCCACATTATAAATATAACCTTGCTACTCCAGAGCTCTAATTTCAGTTTTGACTGCCACTCCTGCTATTCAACTGTCATCTTCTTTATATGATGAAGAAGAGCATCTTTTTCCAAGTGAGCCTCTGCAAGAGCCATTTTAGCTTTAGCCAGTTCCTGTTTAAGAGATTCATTCTCTTCCATGAGCTGAAATGATAAATGGAGGGGAGGGGGGGAATAAGATAATTTAATCATTTCAGGAAATACTGACTATTTATATAGTATCCAAAGGCGTGACACTTGGGATGGTAAAAATGCCCAATGCTGGTAAGAGTGCACTTAAGCTGAAAATTGCTTTGAGACAATATTTGGAAATATACATTAAGCACTTAAAAAATGTTCCCATGTTTTGACCCAGCAATACAAAACACTAACTCCTAATTTCCAAGTCTAATAGTGACTTCATTTCATATGAATTTTCCTGGACCTCACTATGGCTCTAGACATTCAGACATTTAGAACCCTACTTTCTCAGCCTCTCTCCTTTTTTGGCTTTTATGCCACAACTATTTCATATATCCCCTTCAACCTATGTATGCCCTTTTCATCTTTTCTTCTACCTTTTAAGAAGTCTTAAAATTTGACATTCTGTTAGTTCCATTGCTCAGTCGTCTTCTCTTGTCCTGAGTCACTTTCTTGGATGATCTTCTCTCTCATGGCTCCACCTATCATAAACAGACTCACCTAGCACAAACTTCTCTCCTGAGCTCCAGACTCAAATTCTGAATGTGTCATCAGACATTTTCTTTTTTTTTTTTTTTGAGGTGGAGTTTCACTCTTGTTGCTCAGGCTGGAGTACAATGGCGCAATCTCAGCTCACTGCAGCCTCTGCCTCCTGGGTTCAAGTGATACTCCTGCCTCAGCTTCCTGAGTAGCTGGGATTACAGGCATGCGCCACCATGCCCGGCTAATATTCGTATTTTTAGTAGAGACAGAGTTTCTCCATGTTGGTCAAGCTGGTCTCGAACTCTTAACCTCAGGTGATCTGCCCGCCTTGGCCTCCCAAAGTGCTAGAATTACAGGCGTGAGTAACCGCGCCTGGCCAGACATTTTCATCTAGATGGCCAATACGTTTCCCCCACCACCCTTTTAAGACTTAGTTCAAGTATTTTATCCTCTTAGAGCCATTCCCTCATAATTAGGAATGGCTATATTAGAGCAAATATATTGGAGCAAATATAGCCATCCCTAAGTATGGGGATATGATAAAACTAAGAACTTTCTGCATTACATAGATACATTAAAATATATGCAGTTAATTTCAAATAGTTCTCAAACTTCTTCTAGATCTAGCTTAAGAATTCTTGCCTTATAGACCAAGTGAGGTAGTTTCCTATACTTCTCTTCAACTGTAGTATAGCATCTGACACAGTATGTTGTGACTACCAACTGAACACTCTCGTCCCACTAGACTTTGAGTTCTTCAATAGTCAGGGATCATCCACTGCTCAATTCTATATCCCTAGCTCAGAGCTGGCATTGAATAAATCCTCACTGAACAGATGCATTAACTCATTCTATGGTTCCATCATACAGATTAAAACTCTGCTGAACATTTTGTTTCTTTATAATGGCAAAAAAAAAAAAAAAAAAATCAGAAGCAACTTGAATGTTAATAAATGTTTATAGGAAGTTTCAGAAATGATAGCACACCCAAAACCATATTACTCAGCCATTAAAAAAAATTAAGCAAATACAGCAATATGAAAAAATTTTGTTAAACAAGTAAAATTATATAGTATGTATACTTGAATATAATTTTTTTTCAAATAAAAAAGAATCTACAAGGAAAAATCACAAAAATACTGAGAGCACTGGAGGAAGGCAGAAGGTATTAATTTTTTCTTTATTTTGCCCAACTCTCTAACCATAGCACCTAGCAAAGCACCTGGGCACAATAACAAGCACTCGGTACATTTTAATAAAATAAGTAAACAATGTTTTAACTATTAGTATCTTAATACTTAGTTATTTAATTGCTGAAGCTGAATCTGAATTAGGTTTCCCATTACCTGTTCCCTAGTGAAGTCAAAGGAGAACTCAGGAAAGTTAGCTGACTGAGAAGGCCAAGGAACCTCTGGGCTTGTCTGAGTGGCTTGAGTGACACTGCGTTGTTTCTTCAGATCATACTTTCCACTGGTCAGCAGCACTGAATCACTTTTGACATTTTCTTTCAAATCATTTCCAGTGTTAAGCATGTGAGAATCTGATCAAACAAATAACATGCTCAGATAACATTTCCAAATACTTGATAAATCTTTAAAAGTTCAATTGTGAAAATCTAATTTAAAGCTAAGTATCTATATATATTAGTATGAGGATAGCAGTATGAGATAGAACCACCAATAAAACCAAAAGCTTATTCTCTGAAAAGATCAACTAAATAAACATTTCTTCCTAAGAATTCTTCCTAAGAATTTGTCAACTTCAACTAAGTTAATTACATAATTATGTTTTTATACTAAAGGTTGATTTAATAGATTTAATTTAAAGGCTTATTATTAGATTAACTAATAAACTTTTAGTTAGAGTGACCAAGGAAAAGAAATTACTAGAATCTGAAACAAAAGAAGTGACATTACTACCCACTTTACAGAAATAAAACACTATAAAGGAATACTATAAACAACAGTATGTCAATAATTAGATAACTTAGGGCAGGAACAGTGGCTCACACCTGTAATCCCAGCACTTTGGGAGGCCAAGACGGGTGGATCACCTGAGGTCAGGAGTTCGAGACCAGCCTGGCCAACATGGTGAAACCCCGTCTCTACTAAAAATACAAAAACGAGCCGGGCATGGTGGTGCACACCTGTAGTCCCAGCTACTCAGGAGGCTGAGGCAGAAGAATTGCTTGAACCCGGGAGGTGGAGGTTGCTGTGAGCTGAGATCATGCAGACTCCATCTCAAAAATAACAACAAAAACAACTATGTAACTTAGATGAAACTATGTAACTTAGATTAACTTAGTTAGAAAGACACTAACTACCCAAATACTCAAGAAGACAATGTCAATAGACCTATAGCTGAGAGAGACAATCAGTAATCATAAAACTACCCAAAAAGAAAAGCCCAGGCCCAGGTGGCTTCACTGGAGAATTCTATCAAACATTTAAAGAATAATATCAAATCTTTAAAAACTCTTCCAAAAAACAGGAGCATTCCCAAACTTTCTATGAAGGCAGTATTACCCTGATATCAAATCTAGACAAAAACAAACAAACAAACAAACAAAAAACACACAAGAACACTAAGACCAATATGCTGATGAATATGGACATAATCATCAACAAAATGTTAGTAAACTGAACCCAGCAACATACAAACATAACTATAAAGCATGGTCAACTGGGATTTATCCCAGGAATGCAAATATATCTATCATCCAAAAAGTAACTAATGTAATACATCAACAGAATAAAAGGCAAAAGCCACATGTTCATCTCAATAGATGCTGTAAAAGCATCTGACAAAATCCAATACCTTTTCATGATAAAAACACTCACCAAATTAGAAATAGAAGGGAACTTCCTCAATCTAATAAAAGGTCATCATGTATAAACATCCCACATCTAATATGATACTTAATGGTGAAAGACTAGACTCTTTTCCTGTTGGCCAAAATCAGAAACCAGACAAGGCTGTCTGCTATTGTTACTTTTTTTTTTTTTTTTTTTTTGAGACGGAGTCTCGCTCTGTTGCCAGACTGGAGCGGTGACACAATTGCCAGTGGCACAATCTCAGCTCACTGCAACCTCCATCTCCCAGGTTCAAGTGATTCTCCTGCCTCAGCCTCCCAAGTAGCTGGTGTATCCAGCTAATTTTTGTATTTTCAGCAGAGATGGGGTTTCACCATGTTGGCCAGGATGGTCTCAATTTCTTGATCTGGTGATCTGCCAGCCTCGGCTTCCCAAAGTGCTGGGATTACAGGTGTGAGCCACCGTGCCCAGCCTGCTATTGTCACTTCTATTCAACATTGTCTTAGAGGTTCTAACCAGGGCAACTGGGCAAGAAAAACAATAGAAGACACTCAGATTGGAAAGGAAGAAGTAAAATTATCTTTATTAGATATGATCTTGGGTATAGAAAAAAACTAAGGAAACAACTAAAAAACTACTGGAACTAATCAAGTTCAGTGAGGTTGCAGGATACAAAATCAATACACAAAAATAAACTACATTTCTATAATGTGTAATAAAGAATCCACAGATGAAAGAAAACAATTCCATTTAAAATACTGTCAAAAAGAATACAAATAAACTTAACAAAAGAAGCAAAAAACTTACTATACTCTGAAAACTATAAAACATTGTTGAAAGAAATAAATAGATCTAAATAGATGGAAAAAATCCCCACTCTTCATGGATTGGAAGATTTAATGGAAATGCTCCCCAAATTTATCTACAGCTTTAACACAATCCCTATCAGAAGGTGAGCTGGCTTCTTTGTAGAAATTATCAAGCTGACTTTAAAATTCATATGGAATTGCAAGGGACCCAAAGAGTCAAAAAAAATCTTGAAAAGGTACAATAAAGTTGGACGACTCACATGTTCCAATTTTAAAACTTACTTTAAAGGAAGCTGGTAATCAAGACAGTGCGGTAGTCTCAAAGACAGACATACAGACAAGTGGAATAGAATTGAGAATCCAGAAACAAACCTATGTGTCTTTAATCCTTACCCATACTCAAATTGATACATTTGAGTTAAAGAGCTAAATTTAATGGATAATTCTATAAAATTCTTAAAAGAAAACATGAGAAAATCATAACGACCTCAGATTTGGCCATGGATTCTTATACAGGACATCCAAAGCACAGGCAACAAAAGAAAACAGAACAATTGAACACTGTTGTCTTGAGAAATTGCCACAGCTACCCCAACCTTCAGCAACCATGGCTGTCATCAGTCAGCAGCCATCAACCTTGAGGCACGAGCAAAAAGATTATGACTCACTGAAGGTTTAGATGATCATTAGCATTTTTTAGCAATCAAGTTTGTTTGTTTATTGAGATGGATTCTTGCTCTGTTGTCCAGGCTGGAGTGCAGTGGCACGATCTTGGCTCACTGTAACCTCCTCCTCCTCCTGGATTCAAGCGATTCTCCTGCCTCAGCCTCCTGAGTAGCTGGGACTACAGATGTGCGCCAACACACCCAGCTAATTTTTGTATTTTTAGCAGACAGGGGTTTCCCATGTTGGCCAGGCTGGTCTTGAACTCTCGACCTTAGGTGATCTATCTGCCTCAGCCTCCCAAAGTGCTGAGATTACAGGCATGAGCCACTGTGCCCAGATAGAAATCAAGTATTTTTAAATTAAGCTATGTACATTTTTTAGACATAATAGTGTAAACATGACTTTCATATGCACTGGTAAACCGAAAAATTTGTATGACTTGCTTTATTGTGATACTCACTTTATTGTGGCGGTCTGGAACCCTATCTGCAATATATTTAAAGTATGCCTGTATAAGGAAGAAGTTCAGCTTCCTTCATGTGGCTATCTAGTCATTCCATCACCACTTGTGAAAAGGCTGTTCTTTCCCTCATTGAATTGTTTTGCCAGACTTGCCGAAGATCAATTAATCTAAGAGTTATCTCTGGACTCTCAATTCAATTCATTCCAATTATCTTTCACCAAGCTCCTTTTCTACTCAATCAGCTAGAGAGCATTTCTAGTTTATACTTATAAAAGCTGATTCGTACTGCTATTTTCAAATGTTTCAGAGATTACTGATTTCAAATGTTTCAGAATTGTTGAATATCCTGTATTTTCCTATTTTCTTGTTTATGTTTATCCCATTTTCTTGCCTATGAATGCTGTTTCTATTTACCATAGCCAACCTCTAGTGACTATGGGAAAGGAAAGGCTGCTCTACTGGGTGAGATACACCAAGTATGTTAACTGGATAGGGAATCATTCCCTTCCTGGGGGCTTAGCAGCTGCATAATCTACCTTCAATATTTTAGTCTATATGCAAACCCTACTGAGGCCTACTACTGGGCACGGGCACAGGAGAGGATTCCAAAAAGGAATGCCCATATTATTCATGCTATTGCCTCAGGGGCTCATTCTAACCTCAGTATCTTGTTGGGGAGATTCCTCCTATTTTTGAGGAGGAACTTCAGTCATGTAGTCCTCTTGGATCCTTTTGGTCCTGTTTCTCACTGCTTCCCAGGGAAGAAGGTATGATTTATCTGATTGATGGTTTTTTTTGTTTTTGTTTTTTTTTTAAAGAACTATATATATGTAGTTCAGTCTCTTGCTCTGGTATATGCTGTACCTCCTGCCAAGAGGGTGCAATCTTTTCTTTTCTTTTTTTTTTTCACAAGACAGACCTGAATTTTTGGGAGCTAAAAGATTTGGGAGAGAGTCAGGCAGAGTCTTCTCACAGACCTAAGCATAATAGAGCTACCATTTTGATCTTCATTGGCCTTTCTCCTATGTCTGTCTCCACTTGTTCCCAAACTACAGAGGACAGGACTCTTTAAGAGTCTCCCACAAACTGTTCCTACATCTGCAACTGTCCTCTCCTTTCTTCTGTAGCATTGTTAATAACTTTATTCTTTAGTTGACATGTTTTCTGTCATTTCATGAGGTTTTTGATAGGAGATGAAACAGATGTACTTGTCATTCTTTCAACTAGCTACTAAAATAGTGAAGCCCAGAACACATAGATCTACTGACTCATGCTCTTTCCACTACTCACTACCTTAAAAGACACAGACCTTACATTAGCGACCTTAAAAATTTTGTTAGAGTGGGGAAACTAACATTAAAGGTGAACTAAGTACATAGACAATATACCGCAAGTAACTAACGGTATAAAAACTGCCAAAAGAAGTGGAAGAACTCACATCAGATTATAAAGAAAGTGTCACTATACAAGGATGCCCTCTCTCATCACTCCTATTCAACACAGTATTGGAAGCTCTGGCCAGGGCAATCAGGCAAGAGAAAGAAATAAAGGGTATTCAAGTAGGAAAAGAGGAAGTCAAATTGTCTCTGTTTGCAGATGACATGACTGTATATTTAGAAAACCGCATCGTCTCAAACCAAAATCTCCTTAAGCTGATAAACAACTTCAGCACAGCCTCAGGATACAAAATGAATGTGCAAAAATCACAAGCATTTCTATACACCATTAACAGACAGAGAGCCAAATCATGAGTGAACTCCCACTCACAATTACTAAAAAGAGAATAAAATACCTAGAAATACAACTTAAAGGGATGTGAAGGACTTCTTCAAGAACTAAAAACCACTGCTTAATGAAATAAAAGAGGACACATTCGGAGGCCGAGGAGGGCGGATCACGAGGTCGGGAGATCAAGACCTGGCTAACACGGTGAAACCTCATCTCTACTAAATATACAAAAAATTAGCCGGGTGAGGTGGGGGCACCTGTAGTCCCAGCTAGAGTGAGACTCTGTCTCAAAAAAAAAAAAAAAAAAAAAAAAAAAAAAGAGGACACAAACAAATGGAAGAATATGTCATGCTCATGGATAGTAAGAATCAATATCATAAAAATGGCGATACTGCCCAAGTTAATTTATAGATTCAATGCTATCCCCATCAAGCTACCACTGACTTTCTTCACAGAATTGGAAAAAACTACTTTAAAGTTCATATGGAACCAAAAAAGAACCCACAGAGCCAAGACAATCCTAAGCCAAAAGAACAAAGCTGGAGGCATCATGCTACCTGACTTCAAACTATACTACAAGGCT